CCCATTCGAGAATTATTCCATGAAAGTGTCCACGAATGGTTCACCGAAGAGTATTACAAATTTATATGATTCAATTACTTTTTCTTTTTTTTCCTAAATCCTCTTTCAAACTAACTAAGCAATGATAATGTACTCATAAAACTAACACATAATCGTTAATAATATTAACCTCTTTGTTATTCTTTCTTGGGAGAAAGATAAAAAAGCAACATTAAAATTTATGTATTAAAAACATATTGTGTGATTTAAACAATTGGTGAGACTATAATTTATGGACGACGTTTGAGAGACGTAGAAGTGACCTTGAGAGTGTTTACCTACTTAATAGGGCTAAATGTGGGTTGTGAAGCAGTTTGAAGAATAACGATTATGATTCAGAGTTAATGGTTAGGATTAGGAATTAGATTTACGGTTTTTCATCATGAACTGACATAAACTAAAATGCCAGAACACTATTCGGCCAAATGGATGAGTAAATTTTGCGCCATGATAAAACACCTGTTATGCTAAATCTGATTAGTTCGTCCCATAAATTACAGTCTCGCCATAATTTAAGCTCTATTATTTACTTATTCGCCCACAAACACCCTGGAAAGTGTCAGCTCTCCCATTCGAAATACTTACACATGTTCACGCGTATACAGCCACTGATCAGTGAAATCCTACTCACTGTATTCTCGTAGTAGGGGGGTGTTGTTTACGAAATCAAAAGGACGAAAAGCGAGTTTCTGATGTATTAACCGTGCTAATGAATATAGCGTGTACACCTATGGTTGGTCACCGGCTAGTATGGAAACTAGATCTATCAGTAAAAGTGCTCGGGGAGTAGACCTCTAAGAAAGAAAACCACCTACTTCACTTTGGGCACCTGGACAGTACTCCAACTATCACACAAATTGAATGATGAAGTATGGTGCATATCCTTATCTGCTGCCCTTGTGGTAATATTCATGTGTTTAAATAAATAAAATAAAAAATTCTTATTACTCATCATATTACATTATGATATACTTGATCAGAGATAATAACAGATGATAATGTGATAAAACTTATTATTATTATTATTCAAGGTCAAAGAATAAATGAACCAATGAAATTTAAATGGAATGAATAGAAGTGACAAGTTTAGTTACATATATAGTTTATATTGAATAAGATTGTGCTGTAGTACCCATGTGACAGTAGTATAATGTTATGTAAGTACAGATATACATAGGAGAAATAAATGAACTCTCGTGATGAATTTACCTCCGGCAATCATTATAAATTGTAGTCATTATTTGTTGTAGTACAATTAATTCATTTTATATGTTATCTCTTTCTTAACAATTTAGAAATTATTTTCTGGTTTGAGTCAATATCAGTAAGAAAGAAAAGAGATAGTGGAGAAGATTTGTAGCTCAGATGGATGATTTTGATGGAGTTTTATTCTCTGAGCTGGATGATTTGGTCGTGGAGCTTTCATCGTTCTTCTGAACGAAATCATCAGCACAAACTTTAAATAGAAGTGAAGTGTTCGAATTTCTCCGTCAATGTGTACAGAACAAGCTGTGAAACGCATATGGATGATGTTTTCTATGAGATAAAATCATTAGACTCGAATGCAGAGAAGCTTCGGTTTCCGGCTAAATGTATCTGCCCAACATCAAAAACCGGGTAAGGAAAAACTGAGGCTGTCGCAATGTGTTCTTGATAGGCTTATGGATGGATTCTGACGCTAGTGGTCAAGATCATAGTCATGCTATCGGTTTTTATATTGTTTTTATTAACTGCTGGAAGGCAACAAAAAGACCGCAGTTGTTCTGATTTCATCTTTACTCAGTGACAGATTTAGTGAATAAGCTATGGACAATGGCCACTAACTGTTACCGTGTTCCCTGGCATTACAATGACTATAGATCGATAGATAGATTTTATGTCAAAGAAGTACAGAAACTTACTGAAAGGTCCTAGATTCAAATACTATTATTGAAATTATAACTTAGAATCTACTGTGATCTACGATTGGTCACTTTGAATGATGTTCTATCTAAGCTTATCTCTTTAGAGCTAAGCCTTTAATAGTTCTAATTGGTTCAGAATATAGAAATGACAACGATTTTGATAAATTGCATAGACTTCTGAAACACCTTGAATGAAAATGTGTTAATGTTTGGGTTGTGTTCTCTTCATATAAATGCGAAATGTTACTTTAGAACGCTTTAAAGATAATGCCAAGTTTAGCTACAGACAGTAATGAATTGAAAGTATCTTGAAAGTATCAACAGTTTAAGCGGACAAAATCTTAACAAGTACAAAAAAAAATTAAGGTATGATACATTTTCATTTTTAAACAAAAATTTACACCGTCTATATTACATATGAGATATATGTTTGCCTAATAAGATGTGAGCATACTACTACTCCGTATTAGATAACGTTTTGTATTATACTTTTTTTTACACATTACCACATCTATTCCATAAAAGAAGAAAATATATATACGTGAAACTACTAATACTACTATTGTCAGTCAGTCAGCTACAACGTAGGATCAGTCACATATATGCATCGGTCCAAGTTGCCATACCTCATTAACACAACAAGATGGACACCGGATTCATAAAAGTAGATATGCAAAATGAAATAAACTATATTAGTTGTGTTGTTATGATGAAATCTTTCTTTTTATATTTAAGAAACTTTTTAAAACAATTCAAATCCTTAATGGATATGACCTCATAAAACTTTACAAAGAAGATAAGAATGTAATGAAAATAAAAATAATAAGAAATAATGATAATTACATAGTAACTATCGATCCTAAGGACTAATAATTCACTCATTAAAGGTTTTTATATAAATATACACACTAAAGTCATGTAAGAAGATCTACCAAGTGCTAGGAGCTACAACATTATGTGCACCAAGAGAAGTGATATTACTTGACTGGTTAAATTGAAATAGAGTGAAGCAGAATTCTACTGAATGAGATAGTCTAACTACTAAGATATCACTACATACACTTTAAAAAAACCATTAGCCTCATCTATTTTTGGACTCGTCAGTTGATTGGAGAATACAATACATCCTGGTACATTTATTGTGATAAGATGAATTGAACTAGTAGAAGAATCGAAAAACGGCGAGAGGATAAGGAGTTAAATGACATAAAATAAAATGTAGAGTGGCAGTGTATAATAATTTTTCAGTGATAAATGTTGTAAGAGTTAGAGAAAATCGAAAACGAAATAGAATGTACGAATCATATATAAAAAAAACAGGCAACTCCTATGAAATTTTACAATAGTACTTTTATGAATCCGGTGTTCATCTTGTTGTGTTAACGAGGTATGGCAACTTGAACCGATGCATATATGTGCCTGGTCCTACGTTGTAGCTGACTGACTGACTGAGTTCCATAAGAATGATATATGTATGTTTGTATCAAAACAACAAACAAGATGTTACATATTGTGCTGGTTTCGAATATTAAATTCATCTCGATTGATTGAAGGGTCGATACGATAACAGTTACATTAGGGACTGATCTACTTATTGCCAATTGTTTAAGTAAACAAATTTAAGACAACCATAGCAGTACCAATAGATGTCATAATATGCTCAGGTTTGAATGGGGTCTGAGTCGGAAATCCGATGTTTGAAAATCAAGTAATCTAACTACTACTTTATGTATATAAGCCAATGCGTATCTGAACTTAGTGGCCACGCGGATAACGGGACGGTCATCGGAGAGAACAATACTGGGTTCAAGTCCCGGAGTAAATATCAACTCTTTGGTTTGGAAAGTGCATCCAGCCGATGAGTCCTGAGTAGGACGAAACCCGTGTCTTAGATTCCTCTTTTAGCTATCATATATTTCTGCATAAACATACGAGATAAAGTTTCTATGTAATTTTAACTAAAAATTAACTATATTTATAGAAAGTTACTAAAATTAACTTACTTGCAATGCCATATGTCGTACAGCATTGGTAATTTGTTCACGTGATGCTTTTGAGTAAGGCACAGCAGTGTTAAGTAGTTGAGCCGCCATAATAATCGAATGGCTATGACTTCTTGAAGTAAATGAAGTTGGACAAAATGAATACCATGTTGGGCATATTGAATAATTTGTATCAGGTGTAGGATTCATATTCATCATTAAACCACTACTTGCACAACCACCATTTAAAGAATCATCATCCCAATTAGAAAGACCGAAGAATAGTGAAGAATGATCAAAACACATTGGATTGTCTATAGTAGACGGATTCGCTTGATCAGTAGGACAAAGTTTATTGGTTGACAAAGATTTCGACATACGTGGAGTAATATTAGTTGGTGTGTTTACATCTAATGTACCGACAGCTGTAAGTAAAGCTGGAGCAAGCCAACTAACAGCCTCTCTTGGATTTACATAAGATGACCAATGATAAATTAAGTATAAACAAGCAGGTGGACCAACATGTAAAGCAGTTGTAACTGCCCATGCTAACATTTCACGTCGACGCCAGTGTACTGATCGGCTAAGTGTACGTAGAACAACTATTAAAGCTAAATGAAATGCAGTACTAATAAGAAATATACGATCACGTGTATAAAGTGATTCAATTGTTGGATTAGTTGCAGTCGGTAACAATAAACCAGGTGGAGGATTAGAATTTAACAAACAACCACATTCACTATAAGCAGATTCTAGTAAATTGGTATTATTAGGTTTACGATTAACTGGTGATCTTAATTTCCAACCAACTGCTTCTGCAAATACCTGAAAAATACAAAATGGAACCAAGAAAAGAAATTTTTTTATTGTTACTGGCCTTACGACAGATAAGAGAAAATAAATAAATAAACATTCCAAGAAGATAATAATAGTAATAAAATTTTCAAAAAATAACTACAAAGATAAGCACATCAATTGAATTATCTTATATGGATGTTGTTTGTCCATTAAATACACAAACTTCAGTTCTATTTTGCCGCACTTTTATCATATTTTCGTTTAGATTGTTAGAAATAGTCCTAGAAACAAATAGGTTTTTTAGCTTCTAACTCATTTTAGATTTTTTAAAAATATTTGTATACCAATATTTTCCCCCCAATTGAATTTATCAGCAAGGATTGATATAGTGAATTATTCTAGATTGGAAACCATACACACACACAAACACAAACAAAAGACTGCACTCATTCGCTAGATCGACGATTTTCGATCCTTGCCTACAATTATATTTTGCTATCTTCATAGCACTTGTTGAAACATTTAGTGTATCTAAGGAGAGTTGTTTCCTTTAGGGAATTATCTTTACAGATAATCATCAAGCACTCCATAGATTTTATTCACAAGTTTCATCAAATACTTTAGTATTCAAGTCCTAGTATTTATGAAACAGATAGCCCCCAAATGCCCTGGTACAGCCGAAAGTGGGGAGAGTCCGCTCCCCCTCTCTAAATGCTCCCACATGGCCACTTGCATACAACCACTGACAGGGAAGTCCTACTCAGGGCATTTTCGTGACGGGGATGTTGTTTACGAAATTGAGAGGACGAAAAGAGAACGTCCAGCGATTTAACCGGGTTGGTGGACATGGAGAGTACACATAGGGGAGATGGAAAACCCTGATTCCAAACAAATGGTGCACATGGGCTCCAGGATCCTGAAGGGAAAAATGGGGTATGAACTAATCGTTAGTCACCGGCTTCCATGGGACTACATCTCCTTACGATGCTCCACTGCCTTGTGGATCAGACCTTCAGGTCGAAGGCTCCGGATGTGGTCCCCTAAGAAAACCACCTACTTCGGTTTGGGCACCCGGCCAGTATCACAGCCTTCACACATATCAAATGATATCTGTGTGACGCATATGTATTTGGTAACTCCTTGTACCAATATCTGTGTTAAAATAAATAAATAAATAAATGAAACAGATGACAATGTGCCAGAAAAAGTACTACTAACGAATGAATGTAAAGCTTATTTGCCACATGTACACATGTGTTTATTACACTGGTAATACTAACCACAGCTGCTTAGATTGTAAGAAGTGGAAGAAAAAAACATTGAAAAAGTGAACATTCAATACAGATAGAAAGTTAACTG